CAGTTGCCCCTCCCAGCTGTTTAGCCTATTTACACTATCAGGTCTTTGGGACATTTACTTTCTTTCAGTATGTGTTTGTGTTGGACTCTATATAGTGGGTGAGTTCTTGCAATATCAATCAATTAATAACAGGTGACTGCAAGCATTTTTCCCTCAATGCATAATTTCTTGCTCATTGCCCAACATTTTGGAACATGGTAAATAGGGAGAAAAGTATTTTATAAGATTCAACTAAAGAAAAAAACCCCATGTATTTACAATCTGAAAGGAAGCACTGGAAGGTTATAATTCAGCAACAAAAGGCTCTGCAAGGAAGCGTGCCCTAGCAACTGTCTTTGTATAGAGAAATCAGTCGCTCATTTATCTTACAGAAGGCAACTTTTGTAACACTGTTTGCATTGTGCCGCCTAATGACTGACGTTGTGACGGGACTGTCAAGCTAAGAAGGGAAACAGTGTGAAAGTGAACTGGGATGTAAAGACCCCATGACAAAATGAAAAACGGTATGTGAAGGCTTTACCGCTTAAATGAGTCAGGAGCCGTGTGAATGCTTAAAACATTAAGACACTGGGAATTGTGTTTGTGTACTTAGTGATGCTCCAGAGTGACCCCAAGTAGGTATGCCTTATAGTTAAACGTAAACTGAGGTGAATGAAAAGGGAGGAAAAAACACACTCTTCCCTTTGTCGATTCTGTCTTCAGAAAGGTTCCAAGATGCTGGAGGAATCCCCAAGGGCAGGTACATAATTTCCTCACTCTACCTTGGGTCCAGCAGAGCTGCCTGGCTGGTTTCTCAGACCTGGCTCCTGGCTGCTCCCCAGCACAATGGGGAATATACAGGGCATTGCAGTCTTGCATCTGGCCCTCCCACAGCTCTTATGGGCATTAATTTTGCCTGGTGTAGACAGTCTGTTGGCTGTTTTTCACATACCACCACTTCTCTTTTCCTTCTATTACCCCTCCTTCTTGACCTGTCTTCCTCCTGTTTTCAACTGTCGTGCTATTTCTTTATAACAAAAAAAAAAAAAATCTGTCTGCCTATGGGCTGCAAGAAATGGCTTGCTAAAAGTCACCTTCTTTTGTTGTTTCCAATGCATAAAAATCTTTTCTGTCATGCTGGTATTGTATAGAAAAAAAAAGATATTTTCTTCAGTGGGTTAAAGCTAGGATGGGGAGATGTTTAAAGCAGAGCTCTTTTGGGAGGTAATAGGTTTAATGCTATTGAAAAAGAATAAATACGTCTGCCTGAGGCAAGGTTTTTGAAGCACTTAGGTCTGACTTTCATTAAATTTCTGGAAAAAAGAGATAGGGAAAAAAATGTATTAACTAAACAGTTACACTGAGAAACAAGTTATTAAAGAGCCTGTTTCCCTCCCCTCACTGGGTTGAGACTGGCCATTTAGCTATTTAACTTGTTTGTTAGCAGGTTTGTGCCCTGCTCTACCTGGCTGAGAGGGGTCAGGGCTACCATGGAACCAGGGGGAACCTTGCAGAGGAAGAGTTTTTTTGGGGTCCAGCCTATTTGAGCAGTGCCCCTGTAAAGGCTCAGGCCCATGGGAATTGGGAACCCAGAAGCCTTTTCCAAAGCTTGCTCCCAAGGACCGGAGCCTGAGTGGCTGCATCTGGTGCAGAAGTGGAGCCAGCTGGGCTGTCACGTCCTGTGCCCCCATGGGTGCTCACCCAGACATGAGTCCCTCTGAGATTACAGGTCCCTTGCCCCATGGCAAGCAGAGGGCACATGGGTTTGCAAAGAATGCATGGCAGGCCGGGCTACTGAACAGCCATCCCAGCCCATGCCGAGGTGAGCAGAGGGGCTGCAGGATCCACAGTGGGATCTGAGCTTGGGAGGGAGTGTCTGATGAAGACACTAACACATCTGGTTGTGACAAAATCTGGAGGAAAGGAGACTGCAAAGCAACACCCTTACGATAAGGACTGGGAACACGTGGTTCCTCCTGACCCAGGCTGTGACAGCACCCACCGAGTCAGCTGGGTAGCCCCAGCCTACGGACCTCTGTGCTGGTCCTGCGCTTGCCTTTACACAGAAGTCAGAATCACTCTAGCCTATTATTTTTTAAGCATTTCAGCCAGATCATTAATTTCTTTCCTCCCTCAGGTGCATTGTACCTTTACAAACAATTGATACCAGGAGCATCATGGCCTGCTCTGCCTCCGGGTCTACCTAAACACCAGATGGCTTGATTTGCACCATCTCCAGATCTGACTCTTTTGCAGCACTCCTTGCCACAAGCCTGCCATTGCTGCAGCAGTTTTTTAAGTTTATAAAACCTCTTTCTTTAGAGTTATTCAGTGGTTTACTTATTAGCTCTGCGTGCCAGATTAGTGGCTACACATCAGGTTCTTGGGATACCCATCCTTTTCTATTTTCACCCACCTCCCCATATTCTGGCAACATGTCATGCTCTATTATACAGTACTTGGGCTTTTAGAACATGCAGGCTCTTATGCCCTGGGACTGTGAATGCTCCTCGGTGGGGAGTTTTGCCTTGCTCACTGGTGGTGTCTTGGGATGCTTAATCCTTTGAGGGTTTCTTAGGTGCTGCTGGGTTCAGAATTGTACATCATTAATGCTGAGCAGCTGCTGGCTGATTGATCAAGTCCCCACTGATTCTTTTTGTGGCTTTGGCAAGGGGGGAGCTGAATTTGAGGGGAGAGGCTGCAGGCTGCAGGCACAGACAGGTGGGACACATCTCCCCTCAGCAATCCCAAGAATCCCTGTGTCTGGGACATACCCCTGTTTGCAAGTCTTTTCCCACCTCCTTCTTACTTTGGCATTGTGATCACCAAAGCACCAAGGGACCACCTGGTTTTGACCATGGCACCCTCTGGCTCCCTCAGGTCTCTTTCCCCTTCTGATCACCCGTGTCCCAGGTCTGGGTCCCTCTACCCTAACAGCTGGGACAGTCTGGTGAAGAACAAGCTGAAGGATTTCTCTGGCCACAGATGTGGTTCAGGCTACTACAACCTCTTTAGCTCTAACCACTTGATGGCGAAAGGGCTCGCAAGAGACCCCTACCAAAAATGGCTTCAAAGACTTAGGGCTTCATCAAAACCACCAGAAGATAGATAACCACACAAGCAGTACTGGTTTAACCAATTTCTGTTTCCATGCAGATGGATGCTTTCAAATGTGTGTGAAGTAGCTCTGTAACATTGATTTGTGTGTGAACTTTGCCTAAAAAAATACCTAAGAGAGAAAGAAATTTTATTGAAAAGTGATAATTTAGGAAAGCAAGGCATCCAAGAGTTTGAAGAAGAATGCTTTGTAAGTGGTAGCAAAAAGGAAAATATGAAAACACAAGACACACCTTGACAACTAAATATTGCCTCTGCAAATTTGTTTTGTTTCTTTTCTATATTTCCTTCTCATTCTTTTCAAACATTAGCACACATTTAAGCATGTATCAATATAATAAGCCAGACAGACCAACCAGTATCTGTGGTGAGACCAACCGATCAATGCAATGAGGCTGAAATAGCACAGAAAATTATGTTATCTTAGTATTTGCACTTTAGCTTAGATGCTTATGCATTCTGTCTGACTCCATCTGTATCTGTCCATTGCTTACGCAGTCCAGTTGCTGTACTGTATTTTGCTTATTCCTGTTTTGATGATCCAGACATTTTGATAAGGCAGGAAAGGATCACTCGAAAAGTTTTCAAAAAATTTAGCTATTTGCGTCGCTGTTGATAAGTCTTTTAAGGACCTTCAAGGTCAATTTTGAAGTTTTGTCTGTACCAGTTACCTCTGAGCCCTGTGAAATAGCAGCTGAAATCTATTCATTAAAAAAAAAAAAATCAGAAAAAGTCATCATTAATCAAGAGTGTGTGTGGTGTGTATGTGTGCACCTACGTAACAAGCAGGAGCTGTTTACAACGTGCTCAAGGGCCTCTTCTGTTTTGTTTACTGGCTGGGTTTTTCACAGGGGCCGTTTTCGTGGCAGGTCTCAGCAGCAAGTCATACAGTTAGGAAAAGCACACTTGTAAAACCACAAGTTAAACAGTGGAAGGCAGCATTTTCTAGTAGCAGTTAAAGCCATGTCCCAGCTCCAGGCCGGATGACCAGCTACCCTGACTGCCCTGTGTCGCTCCCGATGCTGAAAGCAGCTGGCAGCTGGTGCAGCCCCCCAGCTCCATTGGTTTTATGGCCGGCCTGTGGCCTGAGCTGGCCACGCTGCTTCAGAGCGTGATCTCATTGCATCTAGGGGCTGCTGGGCTGCTCTTGCCCTCTGGCTACATCCTGTTTTCTTTGCATTTGCCAACAGCATGAGTAATGCCAGTGGCTGACAGGGCAGCTGGCACCAAACATGCTACGCTGGCTTTTCATCTCTAATTACCCCCTTACCGTAGGCTGTCTAGCTGTTAAATTACCTAACTGTCATGAAGATATCCGAGTATAGTCACTCATGGTCTTTGTGCTATCCCTGGTTCTTTCTTCGTGGGGCAAAAACTCTGCCTAGGATGAATAGATATCTATGTTTCAGGAGTCTGAATTTCTTTTATTCTTATTTATGTTGGTGATGGCTGGGCACACAGAGCTAGGTGCTGAGGTTGGGAGTGCTATTCCTGCAGGTGTGCAAAGGTGTATTGATGTTTGGGAGGGTGAAAAAGATAAAGGTTTTACAGTGTTTCCCAAGGATGCTTGGGAGCTTGGCTTCTTTTAATCTCTCCTGGAAATTCATGCTGCAGCTGGGAACTGTCTGCTAAAGGTTCTTTTAGATCTCAAAAAATAAGAAAAGCTGTGGTTATACAATACCATGACATGCAGATCCACAAATACTAATCTAATTGAAAGTGTAACTGCAGGATATTTCCCTCTGACTGAATTAAACACCAAGACTGACATCATGCTAGTCCTCTTTCTAGTCTGTGTACTAGTGTCTAGCTGGTGTGGTATCTCCTATACAGGCAAATTGCTTGTGGCCTGGAGACTCTTTGGGATTTGCTGTGGGTGATCCTTGCTCTCTTTCCCCTACCAGGTCCATGGGAAATGCATGTGCAAGCACAACACAGCAGGGTCCCACTGCCAGCACTGCGCCCCGCTTTACAACGACCAGCCTTGGCAGGCTGCCGACGGCAAAACCGGAGCCCCCAAAGAGTGTCAGTGTAAGTAGTCAGCTGGGAACAGCGTCTCCAGAGCCTCTGCTGGAACAAAACACTTCCTCCTTGTGTGCCTTTCTGCTGTGTTTCCAAGAGGCAGCAGATAATAGGGTGGTGGGCAGGTGCTTGCAAATCAGCTCAGCAAGCAGAGAGCCAGTGCCATGCTCCTGCCCAGCACCCACGACATGTTTGTATGGCAGGGACAGCCCTGTTGCAAAGCTCCTCGTTTGTAAATCCTCACAAGAATGTGTTCTCTGTTGGTTTGGCCTGTCTGTGAGACCCAAGTTCATCACCTTGAGATATGGTCTTCTTCTGCAGACAGACTGCAGCCTGCTCGGTGCCTTGGAGGTGATGGGGGGCCAGCATTGTTCCCTCCATGGGCACCGCTGACAAACACATTTGTGGGAGGTATGGCCTTCTGCTGATGGATGGGGGCTCTGCTCACTCCCCTGGGTGCTGGGGGCAGGAGGAGCCCCAGGCTCTGGGGACGTTTGAGGATTACTTCTGCGGTGCCGGGGCAGCATGCTTAGGGTGAGTGCAGGCTGCAGGGCACTGCAGAGGTCACGGGTGATCTACTTCAGTAACAGCAGCAGTCCAGCCTGAAGGGTGCTGAGGATTAATTGCAGCACCCAGGAAGGTTTGCAGGCTTACTGAGGGCTGTGATGCTGTCAACAAGCTAGCATCAGGCTGCCTGTGTGGGCTGTGGTCACCTGGCAGTGTGGATGATCACCCAGGGAATGACAGTGAATGGCTGTTTCCACCAGCAGCATTTGATGAGCAGGGGTTGGAATAGATCTCACTTGGCCCCTGACTTAGGTGTGTGGGCATCCAGGCTTCATCCACTGCCAGCGCAGGGAAAGGGGGATGCTCGCCCTCTCTCACACATCTCCCCTCCAGCTGCCTTTTCCCTGTCAGATGTAAGGAGCATGGCAGATGCTGTACGGGGCACTGCTAGTTTCTAAAGCAGGGAGGGAAGGATCCTGCCCCAGCAGGAGCAGTGAATATGGGAGGTCTCCCTGTGCTGGCCGGACCATATTGCTGTCCTTGTACTGGGAAACCCATACTGGAAATAAAAGAGTTAAAGCAATTGTTTTTTCTTAAATGTCACCTCTAGAGGCTGGGAAACCTGGATGAAAATGTGATCACATTTCATGCATTTGGATGAATCATGGGTTCATAGGTCAGGTGTCCCATTCCAAAATATGGTTTGCGTTTTTGTGTCTCTTTTCTATAAATCAACATCTTTCACTGCCTTAATGAGTCTTTCTGTTCTCTTTGGCTTCATCTCAGCATGCAAGTGTAATGGGCATGCTGACACTTGTCATTTTGACATGGATGCGTGGCTGGCATCGGGCAATCGCAGCGGTGGTGTCTGCGACAGCTGTCAGCACAACACAGAAGGGCAGCACTGCCAGCGCTGCAAGCCAGGCTTCTACCGGGACCTCAGAAAGCCCTTCTCTGCCCCAGATGCCTGCAAAGGTAAGTCAGAGACGTTTTACTAGTAAAATGCTTCTCAAGTGGGAAGGTGTCAAAGGAAAGGTGGGAGCTTCCTGACCCTCCTTGGAGCAATCTTCTTGCTTCAGTGAAGGACAAGGAGCTCTTTGAGTTCCTTTTTTGATGCTGTTTGCAAAAAAAGCAATGATGTGATTTTCAGGGTGAAAGCCTGCAGATGCTGTTGATAAATCTGCCCCAAGGATACCTGTGGTTTAGGGGCAGGGGAAAAGAGATGATTCATTGACTTTTTTCTGCTATTTTTGGAGAGCAAAAGCTGCGTCATGTTTGCATGTTCTCCTTGTTTGGTGATTGCTGCAAACTCAGAAGCAGGGTGCCTCAGCCAACAGGGGTGCAGCTGATAAATAGCATCACCCACCAGTGCATGTTTGCAGCAGCAGCAGGTGGGTATAGAGGGAGAAACGGGAACATGAGTTAAGTGATATTCCAGAAGACGTGACAGCAAGGAGGCCAAGCCAGAGGCAATGACTTGGCCACATGTAAAATTAAATATTTCCCAAGCGAAAGCAGCGATCCAAAAGCCCTGCTCCCCAGGGACCCCTGTGAGCAATGATGACTCACCGTGGGGGACTCCGGATCCCCAAACTGCGCTGAGTACATTACACTGGTCAGCTAAATATAGGGCTTAGACATGCTCTGTGCTGTGCGCCTACAGCCACCCACCAGCTTCACCAGATTTCTCCTCACTGACCTAAATCTGGAGGAGGACCTTCACTGATGGGAGAAAAAAAATCTGACTGACACCCTGCTTGTGTCATTTGAGGGGACGCTGAGCACATCTCTATCTCTCTCCTCCAAAGGAAAACTACCTGCGTTTAAAGGAAGAGAAATCCTTCTGGGGTGGGGAACTGCACTCTATGCTGGGAGGGTGTGTGTGGTTTCACTTTCATCTGCAGGGTCTTGTGGGGTACAACCGCTTTTGTTCTGCTCCCTCACTGCAAATCTTTCTTGTGAGATTCCCCGGTGGCCTCACCAGCCTGTCACAGAAGTCCTGCTCCTCTCCACCTTTCCCTCTTTGGAAGGAGGAGCAGCAGCAGCTGAACCGACTGTTTTACAACCCTAATTCTCTTTACAGAAACAGAATTGACCACAGTTCTTCATTACTTGTGTAAATAAGTATTTCACTGCTGTAGTATGTACACAAATTTGGGGGTTTTTTTGAACAGTGAATTGAATGACTTTTTAAAGTTCCTTTACTTACTTGTGTACATCAAAGTCCCAAGTCATCTTCTCTGAAACATCAGATACTTTCCCTCTGTAATTATTGCCAGAACTTAGGCGACAAACTTTCATTTTGGAGTCTCATCAGAAAAAAAACGAGGTTTAAATCTTGCACTTAGACCCAAAGTGGGGGCTTGAGGGTTTTTTCTAACTCATGAATTCAGCCTTGGTGATTAAACAAAAAACCCAATTGGATTAATTGACTCCTGGTAGATAACACAGAGCAAAAGACTGAAATAAATTCTGTATGGGACCCTCAATCTCCGAAATGTGCTTTTACTGAGCTTGTGTTACCTTCACTAGTATTGTAATTCCTGATTCTCTTTACGTGCCAGCTCCCATCAGGGAAGAGCATGCACTTTTCTGAGGCCATTGAAGACAAGTAAAGGTTTGGCACTGATTTGAGTGAAGTCTTCTGAACACCTAAAAATAACACCCTTCACCTTGGAAGTGGTAGGAGTGGCCTTCATCTGCTGTGACTTCTCATGCAGCCCATTGAGGAGACAGGGGTTTCACAAGGACCCATTGCAGAGTTTTCCTGGTGCCAAAACACCCAGTCCAAATCCTGTGGCTGTTTGGAGGGTCCGAGAAAGAGTCAAATGGCACCTCCTGGGCTGGCCAGCATGGAGCATCCCTCCTTGCAAAACCAGATCGAACAGAGGTCTCGGGACATATTGCTGCAGAACAGCCATGGCTCAAAGGGAAGGCTGCCAACAGCATGCGTGTGCCTGTGTGCGAGTTAGACCAGCGCTAATGAAGTCAGGCATTACGTCATGTCATTAGCTATATGTGAGCCAAGTCCCAGGAGACCTGATTAAAAAGTTTCTCCCAGCCCTTCTGGGCAGGAGGAAGCTGTGGAGATGAGATGATTAATGGGTGTTTTTATTGATGTAACGGTGGACACTAATGCCGGCGCTCAGTCCTCTCAGTTTTTGGCATTTGTCTCTAAATCACTTGCCCGTGACAGTCCACTTTCCACATTTTTTTACCCCAAAAAATGTGTGTCTGACATGAAGACCATAAATTTGTTTCCATTACTCTTTAATCCAGCCTCTTTATGGACCACTAAGTATTCATGAACTCTGGTATTTAAAGGCCAAAGGTAATATATATTTGACAAGAACTGTGAGATAGCCTTGAGTACAGTGAAAAGTCTACATTTATTTACTTTTTGCATTAAGTACATCTACTCTGTCGCTATTTTTTTTTCAGTATTTATGAATTACAGAGCATGAAGTACTCAGGTATGTCAGGCAGACAGCTTTCCCTGGCATAACCTGGGTTCCACAAAAATGCAGAGATTATCTGAATACTTCACTTTTGCTACAAACATGCAGATTATTTCTCTCTGGCCTTTTCAAACACTCACAAATACTGTCCTCCCTAAGACCCCCTTCACCTTTTCCCTTCTGGTCTCCTGCTGCTGGGGCTGCTCCCTGCACTCAGGGACCCAGCATCTCCCGGGGGAGCCCAGCAGCTCGCAGGGCCGTAGCAAATGACTGTTAAATTAAATTATATAAGACTGATTACAGCCAATGCCTGGCACATTTCCAAGGACCGTGCCATGGTCTGCAATAACAAGGGACGTGCGTGGTGCCCTGTTATTCTTTTCAGGAAGGCCACGGCATTGCCTGTTTGCTTCTGGCTCAAGGCACCGTTATTGCTCAACCGTGGGGTAGCAGTGAAAATTTAAAAATTCCAAGGTCAAAGTAAATAAAGGAGTTGTTAAGCTGTAATCTCTAAGGATACTTTAAAGAGTCTTTTGTGCGAAGAGTGTATATAATATTTGCTCAGGAGTAGGTGTGTGCCCGATAAAACGAGATGTTCTGCTGTTTAAAACAGCAATCTGATGACTCTTGCCCCCTGCCATGCCTATCAGTCCTTTTCTTTACATCCCTCATGAATTTTTAAGCCTCAGATACAGTATAATTGCAGACAATAAATCAGGTTTTATAATTGATGAGTTTATTTTTGCTTTTCAACTGTAGGTTTTTGAGGGTAAATATTTGTCATTTCCAAAGGTTAGCTGGCAGCTGAAGAAACTACAACAGTATCGCCAATCCAGGGGGAGAAATCCAGCCCCACCAGAGTCCCATTTGTGGCGTTTCAATCCCAATCAGCACATGCGATGCCAGGACAGGCAGTTTTTAATTCATATGTGCACGGAAGTTGTGCAAAATCTTACTAGGTAGTACAGGGGGGTAAACTGGCATTTTAATCATGCTGCTTATGAATCGAAAGGAAAGCAAAAATATCAACTTTGTGGAAGGTTTCCCTTGGTCCCAGGCTAGTGGTGCCCAGCCAGCCCTTCTCTCACTGGAGCTCCCTTGAGTGTGGAAACCCCCGGCGTCCCCAGTGGGGTGGCCATGGCACATGAGACTGGCACTGTCCCAAAGCCTCGCATTGAGAGTCTCAGGCTCTGTGCCCGTGTATCCACCACAAAGTGCCATCCAGCACTGTCTGTACGTGCTTTATCTGCTGCTCCGCTGCTCCTCTCATCTTCCTGGAGGTGGATCTCCTACTGCCTGTGCTGCAGTGAGTTGCAGATTGGGTGGAAGGAGGAAAACAGGGTCTAAAACCAACACTTGGAGCAGCAGCCCATGAGGGGGCAGTAACTGCAGCTGCCATGTGTTGTATCATCGGTCCTGCAGCCCTTTTCTTACTGCCATTGCCATAGTATGGAAGCACTTGGTCCTATTTTCATGCATTTATTTCAAAGTTGGCACAACATGCTCACATCTGAGCTCTAGAGTCTCATTTCTGTGCTCGGTGCATAATGTTGAGCTGCACTTTACCTCTCTGCATTGCTCAGCATGTTCCCAGTGCAGCACATCACAAATGTTTACCACGTTGTAAATTTTCCACCCAAAGCATCCAGATTAACATCACTTAGTGTCATCTTGGGCCTCCACCCAAGATGCAAGACCAAAAAGCTTCAATTCACTGGTTGCTGATGAAAAACAGGTCAGTGCCTTGGTAGCTCATAGGGGAGCAGTCAGGAAGGAGAGCGTCCATGGAGATGGGTGTGAAGCCCTTGTAGAAATTACTAACCTTTAAAATTAATCTCTTTGCAGCTTTTATGAAAAAGTACAGCCAACTACATTCTCATTTTCTATGAGCTTGCTGCTGTATTTTTCATAAAAGCCATTGTAAATTTAATATTCCTGTGTCACCATGGTGTTGCCACTGCCATTAAATTTTCCATTAGGAAAAAAAATTATGTGAAAGCATTGTCTACAACATAAAAAGCTCCGATCCCAATACGGTTGGGTGTAAAACTCAGCTGAAACCCAACCAAAATAGGACCAAATCTTTCTCTGAGCAGTGGGTTTATCTCACTGACTGCAGGAGGATGGAAGAGGTTTAAGTGCTTGATATTTCCCCTGAAGGGGATGAGGAATGCCAGAAATACCCACCACCTCTAGTAGGAAAAGAGAGCATTGGGCTACATGTGTCAGGTGTAAAACACTTCACAGACTTCAGGAGAAAGGTATGTGAGTCTTGGTGAGTGCTGTTGAAAACTGTGCTATTAAAGGTACTGGAGTTCACTGCCTGCAGCTAGTTATGCAGTTTGTGGAGAGGCTTTCTAATCTTTTAATTTTATATAATTATATTTGTTTGGGAATGGAAAGGGTGGGGAAAATTTGGGGATTACTTTGGCAAAGATTTTGGAATCGTAGTCGCCTCCAAGTTAAGTGCCAATATTAATCTATCCTTTAATATTTTGAAACAACACTCCAGGTATGTCAAATCCCTGAAACCACAAAAATGTTGTCAGAGCAAATTAAATATGTGTGTGCTGCAGTAAGTATTTTAAGAGAAAGCTTGTGTTGTGAGCAGTGGCTTTTCTGCTTTATTGCCTTCACAGTTGCAACATGAAAATACTACCATTAGAATTCGGTGAAAATTTTTCCTCTAAATTAAATTTTCTCAGGAAATACATTTTTTAAGTAAATTGAGTTTTACACAAAAGTCTTTCAGCAGGGAATTTTTTGCCATAATGCACAAGGCTGACTGTAACACATCCTGGTCAGAGAACCAAACCCTGAGGGAAGGAGAGCACAAGTCACCCAACTACTGGTCCTGCGGGGCACCACATTGCCTGATGGCCAGACCACATCGTCAGAGGTTTGGCTCACACTTCTAATAACTGTATTTCTGACCTTTGAAAATGTTAACATTTTCAGGGGGAAAAAAGTTGTAGTCTTGCAACAGACATAAATTACATATATGCAAAAGAAAAATCCTAAGAAGTTGGCAAGGAAAACTTCACACCACTTATTTTAGGTCATCCTTGCTGGTTTGTGAGAATGGCCATTTCTCCCAGTGTGGGAGCATTCTCCCAGAACACTTCCAGTGCATTGTTCTGCTGCAAGGGGCTATGGGGGAGGGAAAAAGAGCAGCCAGAGTTTCTGACATGCACTCTGAAAACCTGTGTTCCAGAGTGTGTGTAAAAGCATATCTCTGAGCCATCGGTGTCCTCATTCTTTTTTTTTTTAATGTTTTGAAATGATGGCTTTAAAAGAAAATCAGACAGACACTGAGGGGTACTTTTTGCTCAGCCTCCACTTTAATTAAAATGGCTGTTCCAAGGGGGTTTTCTTAACCTCCTAGATGCAAGAGAGTTGTTATTACTTTAGAAGGCAATTATGCTCTGATTCATTTTGGCAATGAAGCACCTACAGCAGTTTAAACGTCATTGTGAGCCAGGCACATCCCTGGGTACTTGGCTGGATTGGAGTCCAGATACTGTAAGGAAAGTAATAAAGGCCTGTTTGGCAAAACATGATGCAAACCAGGGTAGGTTAACTAATTAAGATACCTTACAGAAGTTCAAGTCATACAGTTTCTAAGGGGGGATTCTGGTCAGACTTATAAGGATGAGAGGAAAAAAAAGCCCAGAAGTGTCATTGTCCTTAGGCAGAGCAGCAGTTTCTCAGGCGTCTCCTGCACCTTCATCCCACAGAGCTGTTGCACTCACAGACATCTCTCCCCCTCCATGGTGTCCCCGCAGCTTGCTCCTGCCACCCCCTGGGATCGGCCATGCTCCCCCTGGGACCCCGCACCTTCTGTGACCCCAGCACTGGTGACTGCCCCTGCAAGCCCGGCGTGGCAGGGCCCCGCTGTGACCGCTGCCTTCCTGGCTACTGGGGCTTTGGTGCCTATGGCTGCCGCCCCTGTGACTGCGCCCACAGCTGCGAGCCCCGCACCGGCGACTGCCGCAGCAGCAGGTGAGTTGGGGGTTCCGGCCACCCCCTCCCAGCCTCACCATACTTTCATGATCTTTGTTCCAGGGAAGGCACTGCTGCCAACTCTGTTTATGCATGGCACATGGGCTGGAAAATATCCATTATATAAAACGTTTGGGGTTTGGTGCACTCAGGAATTGGGGATGGGATGGGAGCTGAGGCTGCAGTTCACCTGGGTGCCTGGCACATCATGGCAGGGCACTGACAAGGTTGGATTATCAGCTCCCAGTGGTGGTGTTAATGTATCAGGTGTTTTCCCTGAGCTTCACTGTTGCTTCCTCTCCATGAGCAAAATGTGAGCCTCAGGGAGATCTGAGCAGGAGGAGACCAAAGGGTTAATATTGTTGCTGCTGCAACTCAGCTTTCATTGACTGTGCTGGACTTAAAATCAAGCTCTGACTTTTAGAAGACAGCACATTTTAATAATACTTGTTTCTGGATATTACCTGTTGCTTTTTTTTTACCATGCTGGGGATATATTTATAATGTATAAATCCCCATAAGGCATTTTAAACCCAAAATGGATTCATGACCTACTCTGACAACACTCAACCTGTTCACTTTCCAAAACCACCCCTTGCATTTAACACCACCAAGACATGCAGTCAAGTTGCATTCAGAGGATGGGTTGGTAGTGGCCCTGCTTTCCTCTGGCTCCAGGAGAAAGGCTGACCATCTCCCTTTCGCTCCAACAGCTCAGATGTCACCTGGCACCACGAAGCACCTCCTTTCCAGGCGGTGCTCAACGAGAGCGAGCCTGCCTGGGGCTGGGAGGATGAGCAGGGCTTCTCAGCACTCCGACATTCTGGTAGGATGGCAGTTTCATGCGTGTTTCCCTGCCTCACCCCTCCCACCAGCAGCCAGCGCAGATAGAGTCTTCTGCACTGGCTTGTAATTAACGCCCTGGCAGCTGCAGGAGGGGATAAACGTTCTCCTATTAACGTCCTATACAACCACCTCCTTCCTCTCCACAAGCTGGAGGAGACTTATGGCTCATTCCATCAATGTGAGGATGTGCAAACTCTGTAGGGAGATGGTGCATGCTGAAAGCCTGCACCCAGCATTTAGCTCCCAGTAAGGCAAGAGTAGCCTGCCTGGATTTGCAGCCCCAGCTCTGAATTTCAAATGTGTCTTTATAGTCACTAGAACTACTACACACTGGACAAATGAACACTATTATTTAGAGAGTGTTTTTTGTCACGTCACAGGCAGGGAATCAGAAATTTTCCTGATACCCACAGCCAATTTTGGCGTCAATTGCAGCTTATGATGCAATTGAAGCTTGCCTAGCATTTCAGCTATGGTTTCAGCTGGGAAGTTATTTCCCCCTCAGTCTTGAGGAGGCTGATGCTGCCTGAGGTTGCTGCTAGACAGGTTGGCCCCATGGTGCTGCATCAAGCCACCTTCCCTTACAATCGCTGTATGCAAGCAGGCAAGCGTCATTTCCTCCATTTTCAGAAACCAGCGTGATAAAATCTCAAAGATAGAATGACTGAGTTAATTGAGGGGAAAGCTCCATCATTTGTCTGAGCAACTTCATTTTAAGCGTAAATAAGTATATCGTGTTATTCTTTGTTCTAAGATCACGGAAGTCATTAATCTGCCTTAACCTCTGCAACATTTCCTTTTAAAATTTTGTCTGGTATATTACAGTGTGGAAAATACCACAGGGAAAGATATGCATGTTATTTGCATCCCAAGGCAAAATAATAAGGCCTTTGTTTCCCCTATTTTCAAATTGTAAACAAGGAATAATTGCCCTTGGACTAAGATTGTGTATTCAGCCTGTGTCTGAAAATAGCGCTTTTTTTGCACGGGGATTGTGGACCATGTGAAAACCTCTGGCAGGTCCCAGGCTCTGCCCACGACAGCTCCCTTCTTTTAAGTACAATCCACAACTGTTTCCATCCTTCTCTTTCCCCAGGTAAATGCGAATGTAAAGAGCAAGTTTTAGGGAATCCCAAGGTCTTCTGCGGGATGAAGTACACCTACGGTGAGTGGTGGGTGAGGTGGCAGGGGCATAAAGGGAAGTGCTGCCAGGTGGTGCAAAAGTGTAAAGCGAGAGAGGTGCTGCTGCATGCACCGCTCTGTCCTGGCAAACCCATTGGCTACTTAGTCTGGGGGCAGATCTTTGGCCTTTCCAAAATGTATAGATATCATGGTGCCATGTCAAGGTGGGTGAAGCGTCTTATTCTGTCACCCACCTCTCTTGCTACTAAGATACTGTTGTGCCAATATCATGGGAGGACAAGAGCTGTAAGTGTCCCTGAGAGGTTGTCTACCTCCAAGACAGACTGTAAAGCACTGTTATCAGAAATGGGTCACTGAAACTCTGTCTGTAGACCAGGTGCCCCAAGGATGGTCTAGAAATTGCTAAATCTGAATTACACTGAATTGTAAGGGGGGATGGTGATCACTATACAAAACACTACACAGAGAAAACAGCTCCAGCAGCCACTGGGAACTTTCCCTTGTCATTAAAGCTTAGCTGTTGCAATAGGGTGATGAATATTGTCTATATTTCTATTGGATTTAAATGAATGAGAGGGGGCACTCTGTTTCCTAAGGTCTCTCTGGTGTGTACCAATGAACCACCTCCTTCATACCGCAGCAGAGCAAGGAATGCTCTGTGTGACACTCCCTTCCTTCACAGGCTTCCAGGCGTCTCTTGCACCTGTTTCATCTCGCACTGAAATTGAAAATGCACAAAGAGATAACCCCTACCTCTGCAGGCTGCGGAGCAGCCCACAAAGGGGAGTTCAAGGGACCGCCAGCTGTTGAAATATAGCTCTGGCTTAGTGATATTAGGAAAAAATCTGATTCTGCTTTGCTTTGCTCCCTGGATGCGATAGTGACTGTGTTTAATCTTGCAAAAGATAAGAAATTTTTTAAAAAAGTCACAAAAAACCCGAGTTCATAAATCTTATCTAAAGTGCACTCAGGCTTCCCACCCTTTCATCACTCAACATGCAAAGGTGTCAGCCAAACTGGAGAGACACATGAATTATGGGGCTCATCATGAGCTTCAGGAGGCCATACCGTAGGAGGAGAGGTTTCCCTGAGGTTCCTAACGTGCAGCGCTGAATAAAGCACCACCATACGGTGATACCTATCAGGGTAGGCATCAGCACAGTCAGGAGGAGGCTCACATGTGGGACCCGAGCCCTGAGGCTCCACCATGCAGGGGCTCAGCAGGTGGGATACCAGGCAGCAGGGGTGTGCCTGTGGGTATCTGTGAGCTCAAAATACGCTGTGATTTGCCTCAGTCCCCACGAACATCTCAGTCTCCAGCACTGCATTTGGACTTGGTGGTTCTGCAAAGCAGGAGGACCGGCAACAGGAGTGCTCACCAAGGTGGGATGAGGGCAGCCCCTCACCCCCCTGCCTGCTGCCTGCCCTGCCTGGGCTGAGACCAGCAAAGCCTCCAGGTCTGTCCCTGAAAGCAAGGCTTTCCGCTTGATTTCCAAAAGTGCTAAGGAAGCCAAAGCCTTTGCTGAGCTCTGGGGGAAAATGGGGCCTTCACAAGTTTTGAAAAGCAGGTCATTGGAACTCTCCCACTGCCTGCATGACAGGTCCAGGGGCCATGGACAAACCAACCAGCAGCCTCATGGCTATGGGGAAGTATGCTTTCTCTAGCAGCTGCACTCACCCTGGGCTCCCCAGCAAGGACCATTGGGCTAACTCCACTGTAGCAAAGTAACTATCCTCACTGCTTCACCCAGACACCTGCATTAGACAAAAAAAAAAAAAAAAAAAAGAAGAGAGCACTGTAAATACTTCATATGTTCCTGGTTTTGAATTCATGTCTTCCCAGTGATCAAGACAAAGATCTTGTCAGCTCATGACAAAGGCTCCCATGCAGAAGTCAATGTGAAGATCAAGAAAGTCTTGAAATCTACAAAGCTGAAGATCCTCCGGGGCAAGAGGACACTCTACCCAGAATCCTGGACTAACAGAGGCTGCACTTGTCCCATTCTCAATCCCGGTAAGTTTGACTCTCTGAGCAATACATCCTCACCATGTTTACACAGATTTCATTCTCATCCCTCCATCCCCTCATGCCAATGAGCTGAGATTGCAGCTCAGTGTTGATTAAAAATTATTGGCTGTTATATCATTTGGATTCCAGCAGCAATCTCCATCAAATTTGAATTTTGTAGAGAAAAGTTGGTTCATTCTATAGACTTTCAAACATATGATTCTCTTTAGGAAGCATAACAACAGTCCTACAGCTTTATCAGTCCCAGACTGTTTCCAGAGGGAGGGAGGCACATATCATGTCACGACTACATGACGTATCTCTTCAAACTAATGCTAATTTGAATCCATAAAAGCACATTTAAATCTAATTTGAGTCATGATATTGTACTGAAGTGTTACTCTAAACTCAAGGGAATATGTCTCCTTGAAAGTAACACTAATTTGCATCTACAAGATTTGGAAGAGATTCTCTTATGCAGTGAGAGGGCAACTTTGGTTTCACAGTTTTTTCTCGTCTTTTGTCAGTGAAATGGAGTATAACTAGTGGTGGCTAAACACTGCATGCAGTCTCTGGTACAGACGAGGAGATGCAGACTCAGGGTTTTCTTCAACAGAGAGAAACTAGGCTCTAGCTGACACACCTTTCTTTACAACTCTGAGATAAACTAACAGTTGCCAACTAATTCAGATAAAGGGTTTTCTTTCCGTAAGGTGCACACATCACTTGGAAATCACTGATCGGAACGTCAACTTCAGCAGTGAGATGTCGCTTACATGTGCAGCACTAAGAACTTCCTTTGAGGGAAAAGGGCTGTCTGCAAGGCTGGATCATGCAGGAAGGTTATTCATTGATGAGGTGTTTGCAGCCTTCTTTCATGTCCACTGGAGTGACCCATCTTTGGTTTTGAAGGCAAGCTGCCGTGATAGCACAGCTGTAGTCAGGAAGTCTTGTCAGGTGAAAGGGTCAGATGAATCAGCAGTGTTAGGCCAGGCTTTGCTGCTTGAGCACAGTAAGACTTTGGATATTGGTAAAACACCATAAATCTATAATTAAATCAATACAGGTGTTTTATTTTTCCACATGCAATGCAAGCACAAGCAAGAAAGCCTTAATATGAACCTGTAGGAATGCTGTGGAAGCTGCCAGATGCTGATGGTGCAGGGCAGCCCCACACCTGACACGCAGCTTTGCAACTCCACTGACTTCAAAGGAGCTTCAGTGATTTTCCCTAGCAGAGGAAAAGACAGCATTAATCACAGAATCGGTGAAGATAGCTTGGTCATCAGCCAAAGGGTGGAGGTCCAACGGTCTTTAGGGACAACCAGGCATCTCATTCATCAGGTGCTACTCCCTTGCCAGCTCTCATGATTTACACTACAAACTTTGCTGTTCTCTTGAAATGCAGCTGCTGAAGTCCTATAAGTATAAATTAATCTCAGCTTTCATGTTGGAAAGAAGTTGTGAAGTTTGGTTCTAACAAGAAACTTGAAAACATCGACTGAGTACATGTTTAAGATTCAGTCATTTCAAAGCTACCACATTTATTTCTCGATGGTCAGCAATATAAACAGATTTAACCCTCTCCCAGAGTAAGAGCTTGTGACCTCCAGATGACTAAACCAACTATAGCCAGATAAAATGCCAAGCTGACATAAAACAATTTCACGACATACAGATATAATGAAAACTCCAAACATTTATCAAATCTCCGTGTGCTCTTTTCAGTTGATAAATGAGTTTATATTCCTACAAGGGGATATTCACTACCCTTGCACACCTTGCCCTGTGCACAGACCCACAGAGGCAGGTTAGACTTCTGGGGGGGACACTGAGCTGAAAGATTTAAAGCTTTCAATTGTCTGCAAGGGAAAAGGAGCCCCTTCCCCTCCTCAGCTCTGCCAAGCACGGACACAACTAAGCACAGAGCTGCCTGCCAGCGACACAGGGCAAATCTCACAACCTCAAGTCCTGGCTTGTGGCATCTCAGTTGTTTGATTCCTTTTATTTTTACACTTCTGTAACATCAGGTTGAAAATCTAGAAAGACCTTTTGAATCAGCAGCCACAGCAATATTTTCTTGCTCTCTGAGGATGTGTGCCACATTTGTCTCTCAAGGAAAATAGATTCAGGAGCCCTTGAAGAATGATATTTATAAGAGCAGTCTTGACAGGGCCAAAACAAATGTTTTGCAAAGGGTGATCCTGCCATACACATATCCTGTGTTTACTTGGCAGAAGAGAGGATGTGTGTGCCCAAAACCTCAGATGGAGTAGATAACAAATTGTATTGAATTAAAGAAAAACATTTGACCTTTAACTAGGGTACACTCTTTTATTCTGAACTACAAAATGAAAACCCAAGAAAACATGAGCAGACTCCTTGCTGTGGCCAGGATGGAGTGGGGCAACCGAGAGCACTAGGGGAGACCCATCTCCGCCATGCTAGTTTGTACCACCACGTGGTGCTCCTTGGCCCAGTGCGAGGAGGAGTGGGTACAAGGGCGTTCTCATGCTTGCTGTACCCAAAGCATGCTGCAGTGGGATGGTGGCCCTGGCAGGGAGCTCCTGCTGCCATGGGAGGAATTATCCATGTTGTTATCCTCATTTATGGCACGTCTGTGGCCCATTTAGGCTATTGGGATGCATGGCAGTGTTTCTTTAGCTAATTCAAACCGAAGGCTTTGCTCTATCCTCCCGCTTAGCAGTTATTGCTTGGCTCCAAGCTCTCTTTGAGTCGTGTCCTGAAAGCCAAGTGCAGACCTGGATGCTTGGGGCAAGCCCTGTGGCAGAGCGTGGCAGGGACGGGCTCCAGCCCTTTCTGGCAGCATCTGGACACCAGGCAAGACTTCACTAGGTGTTGCCATCATGTTTCTGACACATCTGGTGGAGGCAGAAATTAGTGCAGATCTTTTCAGTGCAGCTGCCATCCCCTCAGGCTCTTCTGGGGTGCTCATGCCAGCAAATCTAATATTGCCTCTTGGAAGGGTCCAGCATGGATTTGCCTGCAAGGGGCCACTGTCCATTTTGAGCAACACACCAGCACTGGTCTGTCCTGCTCTGTCATTGCTGGAATGCACTTAACCGACCAATTTCCAGGCTCAAGTGTATTCAAGGAGTGGTGAGGCAGTTGACCATCAAATGGAGATAATAGCAGTTCACAAACAAGGTATAAAACCTTGTAGTGCAGTCCCCAGACCTCAGCTTCCCTTTATATTTAGAAGCCAGCAAAATCAAAGTTTGCATGCTGCATGTCACCAATAGATGTGCCACAGAGGTCATTTTTCCACAGATACAGATAAAGGTATAGATATACAGATATGTAACAGAATCAATATGTATAAGTATTTATTCATATAAGTGCTTCTTTACATGGGACTAAATATCTAGGCTGACTTTGCAGTGCCAATATGCCTCTTGAGCATAGTGCTGTGCAGTCCCTGATCTCTTTGCTGGTTTGCAGGCTTGGAGTACCTTGTGGCAGGACACGAGGACATCCGAACGGGCAGACTCATTGTCAACATGAAAAGTTTTGTCCATCAGTGGAAGTCAGCTCTCGGAAGAAAGGTCCTGGAGATTTTGAAAAGAGGCTGCAACTAGAGGTGCGTGACCGCCCAAGGGCATTTCTTTGTGCACAAAATGCAACAGCCTTCACAGAGAGAAGACCACTAGGATGAAAACTGGAATGTAAGAAAATAGTGCCAAAATGTGTATGTAGCAAGGCATTCAGAGTTGTAGGCGCTGTTTAATTTAACCCTTCCTGGCCAATGTTCATTCACTTGCCTGTGGCTTCTTTGCCGGGAGCTCACCTGAGGGAATTACATTGAGGGAAACAAAAGGAAGGGCAGACACTTGTCTTGCTCTTGTGCAATGTTGGAGCAACTCCTGTGAAGCACTGGTCTCCCTAGACTAAATTGCCACCCTAGAGAGGGAAAGCGTGCCCACGAGCTACAGCTGAGAAGCAAAACACTGCTGCCAGTGCCACGAGCACAGATCCTGAGTGACTTCCAGAGGCTTCAAGGGGATGCTGTGGGGAAGGTGACAGGTGCAGCAGAGAGCAGGCACTGGCAGCAGCATGGCAGTGATGACCATTGTTTAGAAACACCCCATTGGGTTAGGACACAGCACCCATCAAAAAGAATTGGGCACCATGTGCTTTTAACCTGGTCACCCTGATGAAGGTTTCAGGGGCTAAATGCTCTGCCTGTGCTGGCAAGGATGGAGCTGCCGGAGTGAATTGAATCCCTCTGCCTTGGCATAAGCACGGTGCGGGGCAGAGACCGGCTCTCCACCCACTGCATGGCTACAGAGAAGAGCCAGCTCCAGAGGGTGCAGCATCTCTGAGCTTTTGTCCTTGAAGTGTTAAAAATGAACCTAACCCTGGTGTAAATATTTCATTGTATAAAGCACTTTATTACTTGCCACTTCACGGGATGTGTAGTTGTGTTGGGGAAAGAAGTTGAAGGTGGCACATGAACAAAACTCCCTGAAACAGAAGCACTCCTGAAAAACCCCCCAGTTGGACGGCGTTAACGGTATAAAGGGAAATGGCCAGCCTGGCACTGGCCACTCAGAGTATCTGAGGATGCAATTTGAAAGATAAAGTATTTGCACTGGAGTCCCAGCTTCAGACCAGCACTTGGACCCCCGTGGGCAGGACTCTAGCGAGACTTCACAAGCTGCGTGAGAAGAAGGAGAGACTTTGAGATAAAAAAATGCAATTGTCAGAGGAGAAAAACTCTGTCTGCAGGAAAAGGAGTGGACGCGTAGAACGGGAAGGACTCGCATTTGCATATCATAACCCAGCGACCCATGGTGGACCTGGAGTTTTATTTTTATGTTAGTATTTAAAACTGAACGTTTTATTTGTTTTCTTCTGTGTTATTGTTTGCAATATATACAGCCATTATACTTCCTCATTAACATCAGTATGGAATATAGCACAGTTTACTGCAGTTTTCAGCACTAAAATATATCTTTTCTGTAAAGCATCTTTAAACCACATTGCATAGAGTGTATTTTGTGTGTGAGGGGAAAGAAAAGGAAGACATACAACACCAGAAAAGTCATGAGTCTACCAATTCACTTTACGTATGTATTTTTCTTTCAAGGTCCTGTGGACTCACAAAAAAATGATACTATTTTGGTAATTTGTTTTTATATCTTATGTATGTAATAAATATAATATGATTTCAACATTTTAATCTCCTGTTACTACATCACTGGCAATGCAGTCTTTGTGCCTGCGCTAGACAGCACAGCAAAGATGGAGCTGGGTACAGAAAAGCTGCCATGGGGGATATTTTGATTTCTGAGGAATAATATTCACCATATGGTAAAAAGCCAAGTAGCAGGCATGGCTCACAGAACTCCCATTTCACCTCTATTTTGAGAGACTTATAAGCTCTTCTCATAAGAAGGGGAATTGTTCCTAAATATTTTCAAAGCTGGCCAGATCCTTGCATCCACACAGTCCTGATGGCTTTGCTGCAGAGGAATTACCCATAAAAAGCAAGCCAGGGATGGCAGAAGTCAGGCTCACTCTCTACATTTGAAACATTTGAAACTGTAAAGGGAAAAAAAAAATAAAATAAAAGGCTATGGGAAACGAGCACCGTGGCAAAAGGTCTTTAAAAACACCACTGAGTGAAGTCAAGCATCAGAAATGAGCAGCCAGGGGGTCAAGGCAAAACCCACATTGTGGGCAGGACCTGCCCGGGTGGGCAGTTAATCAGTGACTGCCAGGCACCACGCTGCAGCAGCACCCATCTCCCTGGCAGCTGGAGGGAAAGACTCCTCCTGTGGGGACTCTTGGAGACTAAGAGCCTCCAGTATCTCCATTTTGATTTAAAACTTTGCAGTTTTACCCACTCCACATATATTTAGCTTAATTTTATTTTAATGCAATTAAAACTACATTAGCAATGGCTGGTTGGTTAATGTGGCATTGTGAAAACTGGAGAGTGTGAGCCGAGAGGCCGGCAGTCCCAGATGGCTCGAGCACTGCAGGGAGCTGCGATGGCTCCAGTGGCGGACGCTGTTTACAGGACCTTGTCTGATCCCAGTCCTAGCCTTGGGTCTGGGCACTGGTGGTTTTACAAAGGAAAGGGATTAGCTTCCTTAGGGCAAATGTGCCCACGAGAGATTTCTGTCAGGGGATTTTGGCTGGAAGGAGAAATGTCCCTTTATCATGAACAGTTTCAGAGCACCTTAACAGACACCATCCATGCCTGCAGGCTGCAAGTGAAAGGAGAGATGGGGTAGTAGGTGCCTGCAGCCCTGTCTGCATCCTTCCTCGCAGCAGCAGCTGGCTGTAGGGTGACTGGGCAACCCATGGACAGCATGTCCCATCACCAGGAGCTGCAGCTGATGGGAGCCTTCTCCCTCCTCGGCACCTCCCAGACCAAGCCCCAGCAAGGTGCAGAACTGGTGTCCCCTCCTGCCACCACAAGAGCCCGGAGAGGGCTCAGAGATGTGCTGGCTGCACATGTGTGGGGCCCATCCGGTCAGCCATCACTTGTCCCAGAGGAACGCAATCTTCTAGTCACAGTGGAATATTACAGGCATGATTAATATAGTTGCTCCAGCAGGCTAAATCTTCTGGGATGTGACCATGTTGCTGAAAATGACTGAACATCTGGTACTACAGACCTGCGTAAATGGAAAGCCAGGCTGGTATGGGTAAACATAACAACTCAGGAACAAATAGCTGCAGTGTGATCTTTTTTTTAATCTTTATTTTTAGTTATCATATTGCCTTCAGTATCAACACTGGCTAGAATAAACATCTCAAAAATGTCCAGTGGCTGCTGCCCCAGCATCCAGAGGAGCCCTCTCTCCAACAAGGCAGGAGGAGATCGGCTGCCTGTGGGCCTTCTGGGCTGACGTGTTGATTTTTTGATGACAGTGTTTCCAAAGCATGCCCTTGCCCAGGGGTCACAGCTTCTTGCCGCTCTTTTCCCACAGTTCAGCACAGAAACATCATGAATGCCTTTTATTGGTTCAAGGGAAGGCAATGAGGCCTCAGCAAGGCTCACAGGCTGGGAAATACACTATATATGGGAAACTTGTTAGAGTATTGGAAATATTAGCATGGCCAAGAGGCCAACGTGCCACAGCAGGCATGAGGACAGCTGCTCTGTGTGCCCAGTCCAGCTCCAGGATGTGCCCATCTCCTCATTTCTCTATCACTTCAGTGTCTCCTTTGGAGCAAAGATAACACTGGGCTGCTTGCAGGCATGATGTACTCATGAGTGTGATGTGCTCACGGATGTGCTTAAGCCCCACCGATTCACACAGGTCAGGGAAGGTTTTGTCATGCCAAAGCTCTGTTTCCCACAATGCGATTGGCAGTTCAAGGCATCTCCAAGCTCTACCTGGACACTTCTGCTGCAGTAGAAGATGTGTAAAAGAAGTTTATCAGGCTGCTGAGAGGTCTGGGGAGCACAGGTGTGGGTGAGGGTATGTGTATACGGATCCCCGTGGGACTGCTCACTGCTTCATTTCCCAGATGGCGTTTTCTCTGCTCACATCTCTGAGCTCTCCCTGGCCAGGCTGGTTGCTCACACTGCTGGCATTTCTTTCTTTGGCCTTCTCTCTCCGTCTTACATGTAGAAGTCATATACTTACTGAGCACAGGACCTGGATTTTAAGTTGTCTGGAAAACAGGGTTGCCAAAAGGCCCTTGGATCTGTATGAAAATTGCTGAGAATAAAATTGTTCCTAAACTCAACATTAGTGAAGTTTCCCTCAACTGACTTACTGCAGACATGGATACTTACCCCTTTCAGCAAGCGCAAAATGCAGCCCAGCTCCGGGCTCAGGACACACACCAAGGTACTGAAACACAGGAAAAACAGATCAAAACCAAGCAACTGTCCATTAGGATGGCGTTAACCTGGAGTAAAGAATGTTCATCACTGTATTTCCCGTGCCTGATTCACGAACATCATCCTTGTTTGGTTCAGTAGGAGATATTTCTAAAATTATAGCCTTAAAATGTATAGCTGTAAAAAAACACAGTTGCTCTGTCTCTGCTCTTCATAGGAGCTGGTTATCCTCTCCTTTGCATCGGGTGCAACTCACATCTGGACCTTGAGCATTTGTGCAGCATCTGGGTGGTCAAATCTGCTGCATCTTCTCTACTTGGGCTTCACCTGAATAAGACCTGTAGGACATAAGGAAACCTTACTTCAGGTGCACAAACAAGGACTGGAGATTCACCCCACCTAACATGAGTTGCTGGTGGCCGTTGTGCAAGGATCCCCTGGTGCCCTCAGGGTTGCAGAAGAGACCCAGGAGCACCCCGAGGGGGCCATTATAGCTGCCCAGCTGCCCCGCAGGGGCAGTTCTGGGGCCAGGAAGTTGCACAGGTACTTTCGTAGCCCAAAGAGAATCACCAAGAGCAAGGGATTAAACCCACCCTCCATATGGGTAGGGAAGTTAAACAGAGCAGAAATCCAAGCAGGGACACCATCAGCATCCTTTGCCACTTCTGCAGCTGTGGGCAAACCCAGGGACAAGAGACCCCAGTGGCAGGAGGCAAGGAAGCCTCAGCCATCGCCGCCATAGCCCCTTGCTTGGCCTGGCTGCCCAGACCC